ATACTGTAAATAGTGTAAATACATAAATAAATAAATGTGTTATTTAATACTTTCGTTATTTTGCTAGGCAGACAGACAGACAGATTAGGTAATTACTCATTTTGGCCTTGCCCCTTCCTACTTCAGGTACAGTTCTATGGGAGTAGAACCCCTTTGCCTCTACCTAACCTGAATAATGGTTTTCAACTTTGCAAACTTGCTCACCCCATCCTAAAAAGTTGCCCTACAGCATAAGCAGCAAAACTCGCAGAATCTGACAAAACGTCTTCTGATAGACCTGCAGCAGTTTTAATTTCACCTGAACTATATGTATAGGTGGGGATCAAGTGCCCAAAGCAACATTTAACATGGCTGCTGTGCTGCAAGAACCTTGTGCAATCATGTAGAAGTGCCATTGTAATAGTGTAAGAGTTGGCAATGTCAATCGTAGCTGGTGCAATCCTGTGTGGGCTTTAGGAATTAATATGAAAAAGAGTGAGAGGGAAAAAACAATCAAGATTGAACCAGATGGGATATGGTGTCATGGTTAAAGTGAACTGGATAGCTTGAGCACTTTTGATAACTAATTCTCAAGCAAACTCATTTTAATCGACACATTTTATGCCCGATGTTCATGCCAGCTTTCTCTGTTAGGGAAGGGTAACTGCAAGAATCCCTTGGAAACATGTAAAGTACTTCTAAGTGCTATGGATTTTATTTTTTGCTTTGGTTTAATAGACAAATTAGATTCTTTTGTTAGCTGGTATCTCAAATACCCAAGGTAACTGTATCTATTCATACAGTTCAATTGCCTCTGTCTAGATAGCAAGGTTCAGTAAACTGATGGGTCTCCTTGCAGCAAATATAGGTGTATTAGGAAGCAAGCGGATGGATAAACTCCTTTGTTCATCTCAGTTTGAGACAGTTTCTTGTACTCATTGTTGCCCACCCCAGCTGTGTTAGACTATGTCTCCCATGGTGCCTAGTGAACATGGATAATGGGATCTGCCATCCAACATTTACGCAAGCTGTTCACATACAGGCTCGGGAAGGCACACCTTGTGGAAGGATCAGTGGACAAGACATTTGTGTAAGACGGAGAAAGAAAGAAAGAGAAAAGCCTACCTATTTGTAAACAATATTCAGTAGCCATTTCCCAGCTTAACCAGGCTTGCAGGCATTGCTGAAACTCTCCCACAATGCTTGCTGTCTTGGAGTGATGGGAGTCCAGCACATCTGAAGGATTCTGAAAAGGGAGAAGCTGTTATGTGAGATCGACAAAGTTGTTTTAAATGTCAAGCACCTGTATGCTGCAGTACAGATAGGGTTAACCCGTGATACCTCTTATTTTGTCATAATGTTGTGGTATCTCTATTTGGGATAGGAAATATTTATTTTACTGCTTTCCCCTAACATTTGGGATCAGTTTTCCCTCCAGCTTTCCAACTAGAGAGTTACTCTTTTTCTGTTAAGTCTTCTTCTTGAACTGTTTCTTCTTGAATTTGCTGCTTTCTCCAAGAAAATTTAGATTTTTGAGTTTGTAAATTGTGAGTTCCCAGTGTAGTGCTATGGACAGAGTGACTGACTAGGAGTCTGGAGACCTGGGTTTGAATCTTCTTGGCCCTAGAAACTCACTGGAGGGATGGCACTGTTAAAACCAATAGTTTCACTTAGCTTGAAAGCCGTATTAGAGTCACTAAAAGTTGGTTCTGACTTGACAGCACATAACATACAGAATCATCAAGCTATACCTGTCAAGATCTCACCTGTATGTTTTCTTTGAAGAAACCGTGTAAATACCTTCTGGCATTTCACAAATGAATATGGGGCTATTTATCACGTTGTCACTTATTCTGTACAATTTTGTCTGGTGCCACTGGCAGAGTAAACAAGTGACAGTGATAAGTGAGTTTCACAGTTTGGGGCTGAAATCATATCAACAATTTGAAGAAATGGTCTTACC